ATGGAATATCTCTTCACAAGTATGCCTCTATTAACCCTTTTAACATTTGAATAAGAAAATATTTATACATACTCATTTATGGTACATACCTATGTAAATATTTTCATTGTAAGTAAGCAGATTTGTTGTACATTTGTAGTATGTAAATTTATGAAAAATATTCCCTCCATTTAAAAATAAATTCAATTACTATACCTAGCCTTCAAATTTGTTAGAAATATATTTGATTTAAGCGATTTGTTTACCTAAGCACAGAACTACGTACATAAAGGTTTACATACATTTATGTTATTTTAAGAAAAACAAAAATAAATGTGACCGCACATATGTGCATATGTATGTATGTATTTACTACTTAAGCTGATAGTGTGTATGCTAGCGAAAAAAATATAAAACCTCAAAAGTCACAGCTGTTAGACGTTCTATTATTTAGAACTGAAATTAGTAAAATTATTTGTAGTAACTATTTGTATACGTGTCTATGTTTCTACATACATATGTATGTACATATGTACGCAACTCTAGTAGTAAAATTATCAACAAACAAATGATAAAAGAAAATTTCACGAAAAGTGTTATCGCTTTGAAGAAAAATACTCATACGAATACTAGTATTTACTGTAAAATAAACACGTGTTTATTTTTTTAGGAATTTCGTTTTCATTATTGTCTTAAGTTAAATACATTAAATATGTTAATTACATTTTTTATTTGTTTAGTGAATGACAAAATTTACGACCTTTGTGACGCTTCATTTGCATTACACAAACTTTGGGGATAGTTTTTTAATATTATTATTTTTTTTATTATTTTGGGACTATGAACACACTTCTTAATTAGATGCTAAATTCCTAAATTCGTATACGTTTATATATAAATACTATGTAGATATGCTTTTAACTTTTTACATTTAAATCTAAGCGTGTTCATATGTATTAACTGCCGACAAACAGGTGTATCCACGGTCAGCTGCTGTGAACGAACAAATGTTGTTCATTTTGGTGATCGATCACCATATTTCAGAGCATTTAAATGAACTACTGCATTTAGTTCATTCTCGTTCACGAAACGGAACGATTTTTCGGAACACAATTATGCATACGCGCAGTGTCCATATGTATGGGTTGTTCACACTTGTCTGGTTATCAGGCTATCCGGTTAAAAATTATTACTCTGTAGTCTATGTTATTGTTGTAAACTGAATAAAAATATAGGCACATAACCAGATAACCTGATAATCAGGCAAATGTGAACAATCCAATAGCATAAAAATTAACCTATATTTAGAATACAAGCTTCTTTAGTGAATATTAGTATAAGGTGATGTTTACATAAACAAAATCCGCCCACAAATGCGCCCATTTCCATATAACGGTATTTTTTTAAAACTCAAAGTGTTATATTTGGGAAGCTGAAAATATCATCCCTGCATCTTGGCCTAAAGATCAGAAAAAACTGACTTTAACAATTTTTTTCAAAAAAAAAAAAAATAATTTACACGTACAGTCAGAGGATTCAAGTATAACTTAAAACAAATAATTCCAATTTCCGAGCATTAATGGAACAAATTCGGTTTAAATTATGCACTTTTTTGTAAAATGCGTGGGGTTTTAGATGCCCCCTCCGCCCACACCGGAAATAGTGGGCAAATATGACTAAATATATCCGATTTGTGTTATAGAATCAGGGCTGAAAAAATAGTTTATTTTAGTTCATTTTAAATTTTGAACTAGGTCGTTCATTCATTTCGA